ACAACACCTGCATCTTGTAATTGGTATAAGTAATTATTTTTCTCCTCTTCGGTAATATTGCAAAACGCGCCGTCGAGTCGTGCCTGCGATTCATAGAAGTCGAGGGCACACAATGTGGTGCCACTCACCACACGGAACCCACTTATCTCTTGAGCCGCTATTGACTTCAATTCAGACACCAATTCGTTGTCGCATATCGATGGCCGCTGAACCACTTTCCCCAATATATACTGCAATCATTGATTATATACCGTAGATATTATATTGATTATATAAATTGTGGCCATAATATACAGTATATGATATCTCACTGACCAGTTCATAGAAGGGTCTCAGGAGACCATCCACTGCCTTCTCGGTGATGATAACGGTGCCCTGGTCTACGCCTGTGCAATGTTTAATCAATTGTCAATTGTTTTAATTACTACATTTGACAAATGAATACCTATTCCACCACAAGTTCCTATTCTAAGAAATATAACATTGGTGCATTTGGCATAATATACGAGTTTTATGAGTTCGTGAAGTAATATCGACAGCGAAGAGATACCCATTCCATGCTTTTGTGGCAATACAGTCATAATGTATTATATATAAAGTCAAACATAGAGTAGGGACAGGAATACCGTAACGGAAAGGACGGGTCCGATCTTAAACATGTTGTATCGATGAGACGCTTGTGTCCAGTCTTTGTGGTCAAACTCAATGTTCAATTGATTGGCCATATATTGTGCGAAGGACTTCATGCGTTTGAGAGTTCCGCCCACACATACAAACTTGACATCCCCAAACAGCGCCGGCAGGTCATGGGTCTCTGTACCAATTGCCAAGTGATATAAGTTGTCGGACGATAAACTTTTCAAATGCGGATTCTGTATAATTAGTGATCCATCTTTACTATACATTTATAAGAAACAATTGAGACAATCATTTGGACAATAGTTTGCATTCATATATAAAACCTAAGGCTTTGTTTTGAATCATCCAGAATGATTTCTTGATTCTCTGTAAACCGTCTCGAAGTCATTGTATTGTGTTTTGCAAATAATAGCTACTTTTGTTTCGCATACAACTTATAAAAACTAATGCTTTTTAGACTTTAGTTTTATGATAAATAACTATTAAATCCACAGTCGCTCTGATTTATATTTTTCTCTAATTGATAAAAATTTTATCTCAATTTCTACTCATATTTATTTACAATTCTATTCCTATTATATAACAATATACGGAATTCATGCCATAACTTTTCATGTTATAGTCACGTTAACCCTTGTTGTGCTCATCATACGTATATTTTTAAAATGTATCAAAATTTTAAATTTAGAACCAGCTCAAATAAATATATTAATATAAATTGTCTGTATTTTTAATTCAATTGATATATGCATACTACCCACATGATATAGTCATATATACTTAAAGTGTGATAAAAAATCCCATATCTAGTTTCCAATCCAAAGTAATCCAATACAACTTAATTATTGATAATTTATAGCAATTCAATAGTTTCCCAATCGTCAGTACTCTATGCAAAGTATAACAGAATTTATCAAAACAATTGAAAGTAAATGTTTTTATACACTCTTATCAGTTGTAATCTTCTCAACAAATTAATTATTTGAAAAACACGACAAGTATTTCCTTTTATTTTAATTTCTAATATTTATATTTAACACTAATTTTGTTTATTACCGACAATACAATTAGCGAATAAAGAAAATAATTTTAATTACTAAATGAAATAAACTTTATTTTCAGTATAATTGTATAAAAACATAGTCGTAATAGTAAATGAGTCATTTAAATTACAATTTAGAGGTAAATAATTTAAACTCTCATTATCTTTAAAGTTTGTATCGCTTATTAAGCTATAATTATTCCTTACATAAAATCTTACATTTAATGCAATAGTTTAAAAACTTCAAACTATGCCAAACTATTAAATTAATGGCCAAAATAAATAGTTATTATACTCTATTATTACTATGTATTAAATGAATAGAGTTAAACACTTTAATTGTAACTTTATTACCTCATGTCTTAATCATAATGTATAACATTGTATGAATAATGGATTGGAAAGGGTTTCCAAATTGAAAGTCTTTCTCAAAAAGCAGGCATACGATAATACTGTACTACTGTATCATAGTATTGAATACAGTACAATGCAGTGCAAACTTTTTACACTGCTTTGCATTCAATCAATACAATGAGTATAGCTTTTATCAAGCATATCATGTTAAAATAGAGAGTGTGTAAACGTAGCAGCCCGGCTAGCTCAGTCGGTAGAGCATGAGACTCTTAATCTCAGGGTCGTGGGTTCGAGCCCCACGTTGGGCGCAACTTTTTTATTATTTTTTAATTAATTTTTATTTTAGTTAATTTCTAAAATTTCATTGCATAAACAATGATGATTGAAACAATAATTACTCGTTTTGTTAACGTTAAATGTGTTTAAATATGTACTCTACTTTTTGATCACTGAGCTGATATGTTGATCATTGAGCAATTATTGTTATTCAATGGGCAATATTAAAGTATGATTAGCTATTCCTATTTAACTTACAATAACTATGAATTGTTAGGCCTTCTAAACACTTGACATCAAGTCAAACATTGTGCTAAATATTGTTAACATAATTAATGTTAAACGCAAGTATCAAAACAAATTTGATAACTTATAATTTTATTTTGATAATTTCTAAATGAAAAACTTGTTTGAATGGATTACAGTTACAATAAAATATAGATATTTATAAATGAAATTCAATTGATTTGCACATTAAATGAGAAATAGAGTTCAATTCAATAGGTCTGTAGAAATAATTTCTAAATGAAAAACTTGTTTGAATGGATTACAGTTACAATAAAATATAGATATTTATAAATGAAATTCAATTGATTTGCACATTAAATGAGAAATAGAGTTCAATTCAATAGGTCTGTAGATTCGAGTTCTCCGAACTGATCCAAACCGAACAGATTGGAGGGATTGACGGCATCGAGACCTAGCGATGCGATGTCATCCATCGTCTGAAATAATTCGGGTTCAGTTGGAAGTGACGCCATTTGGGACGACTCATCCTCGTTGGTCTCCTTTACACACAAATCATACCATTTTTGTTAAGCAATTAAAATGAGAGTCAAGTGTTTCTAACCATAATTTTCTCGACATCCTTGGGATCGGTCTTCAGTTGTTTGTGATAAACACATGTATTCTTGTGAACATATGAGACCACAGGAGTCAGACAGGGAGGAGAGCACTGGCCGTTGTCACTGCTCTGCACGTAAGCACACGGTCTGAACAGCACTTGATTGACATCATATAAAATATCTACCAATAAATCAATTAATTAACAAATATATCGCTTATTATAAACAGGGATTGCATTAAACATACGTTTCTGACAGTAATGAGAGAGCGGAAGAGAGCGTTGAGTGCAGGCCTCGTCTCCCTTCGCAAAGATACAGATGGGAAAAGTGGGCGCTTTGTAGTGCAGGCCCTCCACCGATGCCTTCCGCTTCTCGTTTGACTGTTGCTTAAGAAGCGCTTCGGCTCCGTGTGTCCGCTGGTATCGCCACAACGCCTTCAACTTCTGGTAGTCTTGGCGCTCCTGTTTGGAGCAATTGCTTTGGAAAACCGATTGCGATATACTTTTGACGCCTTGGATCTCCTTCTCGAGCTTCAAAGACATCAAATACTTATTCTTCTTGTCTTTCAGCAAATACTGGTATCGTTTGAATTGCTCGATATATAGTGACTGAAGTCTAAGCATTTTCTCGCGTAATATGAGTGACACCTCTTCGGCCGCGTAAATGCCCGCGTGTTTCAGCGGTTCCTCACTATTGCTGTCCACGGACTCCGAGTCCGAGTCCAGGGGATCCGAACGCAGCACGTCGTCGACCATAGCGTGCGGGCAGTCGTCGTCGGCATAAGTAGTGCTCAAATTGGCCACCGATTCGGCCATCTTCTTCCTCAAGTGATCACTGGCTGTAATGCTCTGATCGTCGAGTTGTACCCAATCGAGAGCCACACGTCTGCTGTCGTGGCCTTTGTTGGGACAGAAGTGCTCCAAATCGGTCATCAGTTGTCGCAACTCTTCGTTGCGTTTGTGGTGTTCCTCGCATTTCATGCGGATCTGCTGAATGGCCGCCTGTTTCCTCTTGAGGTAGAGCTTCTTGAGATGCCACGGACACAGAGTGCTGTCCCGTCTCTCTGTGCGTCGGGCGGCGTTCGGACACCTCTTCCCCGACTGCGGATGAATGTAAGAGCACTGTCTGAATGGCGCGGACCTGTCCTCCAGAATATGTCGAATACAATATCCAAAGCCTTCCAAACGGTTCTGAAGACATATTCGGTGGACATATGAACACAACTGTTGTGCCGAAGACTCCGCACGCGATCTGC